TTACTTTCTAAGCATATATTGTGTCCTATGTACTTCCAGTCATCATCCTGTGTGTTTAAACCTTGCTTTTAGTCTTAAATGTGCGTCTTGATAAAAAATCAAGCATATTTGAAGCATATTTCGTCTGAAAAATTAATCAAGTTTGTGGACATGTAAATGCAGAAGACCTATCTGAATAAGCGCATACTTTTTTTTTTTTTCAACACATTAACACATCTTTTTTACCTGTGAGGTTAAAAGATCAGGGTTTCTAAGTATTTCTTAAATACTTGTGACCTGAAACCTATACCTGCTTTTGTTAGTTTGACTCAGATAAGTAGTTTGACATTACAAAGGAGCTAAAACTGCAGTTTGTTATTTTTTCTTGTAGGTTTCTGTCACTCTTTTCATGCAAATGATTTATTCTGATTAGTTTTTAGAGTCCTGTTCAGAACAGAGATGAGGAACTACAAAAATCTTTAAAGTAGGTCAACATCTTACTAATTATTGCTCTAATTAGTGACAGCCACATCATTATTATTTTTTTAATGCTATTTAATAGGACTCATAGATATCCTAATTTTGTTAATTTGAAGGAAGTTGTGCCCTTGATTTTTAATGGACTTTACCCAGTCTGTCACATTACCTGAAAGTGTGTATGGTAAAAAATAATAATAATAATAATAAAGGATGTACTTTTACTTTTCCTGTAAAAGCTGCTCTTTTCATTTTATCCACAAATATCAGTAGACTGAACATACATGGTCCAAAGAAAGAACAAATAGCAAAAAGGTTTTAGTTAAGTTTGAAAAATAACAGTGTAAAGGTAAGAGCTTTTTCCCGTGACCTGTATGCTCACTGAAAAAATGTTCTCTCAACTGATTGTCTCGTGCTTAGGATGTAAAACAGTAAATCAAAACATAAATCTTTGGATGGCCTAAAAGAGGTTAAATACTTCTAACAGCAAGATCTGAATGTTGTATGGGGGAAGTTTTATGTTCAGAAAACCCTGAAGAGCCCTTTTATACAAGTATCATAAAATGACATATGACTATGTGTGCTATAATCCTCCAAGGTGGGAAAGTATATTATGTTATTCTCTGTTCCAGGCACTGTAAAGGTATCTTCAAAAAACTCTGTAGTTATCTGCTAGAATTGCTAAGAAACAAAAGCTATTGCCTTGCTTTTACTTCATTACCAACTGCCTTCAGTAAGATTGGTTTAAACGTATGCTAGTTCATTGCTGAAAACAGCATATTTCATCTTGTATTTTCTTGTAGAGAACACACACAGAAACCTGTTAGTGACTGAGTTAACAACCTTAGATTAGATTTTAACTACTTTTGTACAAGTATTAACTGTGTATTTAAATTAAATTGTTTAACACACAACCTGTACCATCACCACCTAATAAACAGAATTACTTTAATATAGTGAATTATAAGCTAGCCTAAGCATGAAAAGTACATGAAGTTAATTTGGTTATCTACTGATGCTAAAAGTAAATCAAATTGCCTCTAAGTTAAATTTTACCATAACAGTGTATTTCAAATTTGGTATATCTTCCCTGTTTTCTGATTGTGGGACTACTCTAGAGTAATCAGATTTTTTTTTTTAGGAATACTTCAGGCAAACAAATGTTTAATATTAAGAAGTACTGTACTCAATTCCCACCATGCTATTTAGCAGTGCCTGATTAAGAGAAAATTAATTCACGTTAGACTGCAAATTGCTATCTGCTATTATCTCACTCCTTAGTTATTGTGGTAATTTATCAGCATCAACGGAGCTAAATCATACAAAAGAAATGAAAGGAGGCTTGTGCAGGGCGTGAAAATGAGTCTGGTGCCATACCTTGTTCGCTGGCTCACACACTGTCCCGCACTGTAGCAGTTGCAGTCGTGCACCAGGCCTTGAAGTGCTGGACACAGTGCTTCTACTCCATGTCTCTAGGTGGAGGCTCGGTGGCAGGTCCTGCTCCTGGCGCAGGCTCTGCAGGGTGCAGGCAGTGGAAGAGCGCAAGTTCTGCTGGAGGGCTCGTTCTCCTTATCACCTCACTTACCTGTGCTCTACGTATTCCTTGACCACGGCCTTGAATATAGGAGGACAGGTGAAATAAAATGAAATGCTGGCATTTAGTCAGTCTGATTCTAAGTTTAAAGGATTCATTTTATCTTTCCAAAGAAAGCCTGTCTCTGCAGCTGGGTGTTACCTTGACTTTCTCCCTTGCTGTAGTAGGACCATTTGTCCCTGGGTGACACTGATGCCCCAGATGGCCTCAACATCCCCAACAGACAGGTCGCCCTTCATATTTTGGCCCATTGCCCTTCACGAAAGCCGATTGCCCTTCATTTTTTTTTGCGTCTCAGCTGCCATTTCACAGCACTGACTTTACACAAGAGGGAAAGTCTTGATTTCCAATGGACGGGCAAGAAAAGCGTTCATGGTCTACAGTGCAAAGACTTGAAGTGGCTCGAGTTCTGTGGCAGAGACAGTGCGGAGGCTGAGCGGAGGCTGCGCCTTGCGCCCTGCAAGGCCGGCAGGGGGCACTGCAGTAGCGGAGGGGCGCGGAGGGGCGCGGATTGCCGGGGAGGTGTCGGTTCAGAAAGGGAAAGGGGGATGGAGAGAGGGGAGGAGGGATCTTAACGCTTCGTCCTGCGGAGGGGGCTCGCAGGCAGCGCTAAGCCGTGATTGAGTTAGCCTTGGGAATCAGGCTGCCCCCAGGATAAACTGCGGAGAGCAGGGTTCTCCTTATTTTTTCGAGGCAGGAAGGAAAGCGGTTAATATTAAATGCGGGTTACGTTCAGACGCCACCACCAGAATCTCAATACTCCTACGGCAGCAACATGACACCAGAGGGAGAAATGCACGGCTCTGGATGGCTCTCTCCATCACCCGGGTCTCCACTAGATCAGACCTTACTTACATCCATTTTTCATGTGCTACGTCACCACCGTCATTTGCTGCTACTACAGTTTAGAAGGCGGCAAGGTTCCATGTCTTTGGAAGGCTCCATCTATTCCAAAGAAAATTCAATCTCTTTCCAAGCTTTAGGAAAAATTTTAAAGCCTACACTGAGAGACTGGCAGTGGCACCTTTGTGTACATATTTACTGCATTTCTTTTGCTATGGAACAGTATAATATTTATAACAGATCTTTGGTATCTATTTTCAAGAAAGAAAATGTAAGTGAGTTGTGGTGGGCACAATGCCTTGATGAAGGAATGACCAGCTCAGGTTTGTAATCCTACAAAGAGTTTAAATGAGCACTTCAGGTCGCTCAGTACACAAGGTATTTAAAAATCCTCCCCGCTCTCTACCTGTGCAAGGGTCAGTCTCGGCTGCGGCTCATTCTGGCTCACATACAAGCAGGCGAAGATAGACTTTCCTCTGCTCCCTGCTCGGCTCCCTGAGATCCTGCGAAGCTGTGGGTATTGCAGAGGAAATATAAACAAGAAGCGATGATGAGCAGAAATTATAAGCCTGCATAGATATTATAATGTAAACCTGCATAAACACACAGATGTGCGTATGAGTGCATATGCAGATGTATGTATACGGATATCACAAAGCAAAAAATGAGAGCTGCTATGCGGCATGGCAGGAGCATTAGGAGAGACTTAACCCCCAATTCACTGTGTTGGAGGGAAGGGATGGAGAATCTGATGGGCCTCCTCTGTCAGCTGGACCTTGCAAGGACAAGTACAAAGCGAGACAGAGGCAAAAGGCCGGGAAAAGGGCAGAGACTGTCCCCTTCATACCTTTGCAGAGAAGGTGACAAGTCTGATCTACACTTTAACCTCTGGAATAATAATAATTAAAAAAAATAATAATAAAGGCAAAACAAATGCACAAAAAGCAACACCACACAAAACACTGCGATCACTGCTCTTTGCTGAGTGCAAGAAGAGAGAAGGCGAAGACCGCCGCACCAGGTGGGGTTGAACAGTACAGCTATCATTATTGTCCTTGTCCTTATCACTGTTGTTTAGTTGTGTTGCCTTATTTAGTCTCCGAGAGCATCCCCCGCTCTTGCCGGCTGTGACCGCTGTTCGATAGCGGGCAGTGCAGAATGAGGCCCGCCGGGGTGCCGTGCGCCGCCTGGCGATGGCCGCTGCCGGGAGCGGGGCCGGAGCCCCTGCAGGACCCCCTCCAAGCCCCCCTGCTTTAGGCAGGGGGCGGCGGGGGCTTTGCCGGGAGGGATGCTGTGCGCTGCGCGGCGGGGGACACCCCGTCGGGGCATGGGCTCTGCACGGCGCACAAGGAGAGACGGAGGCCGAGCCTCTTCTCAACCCTTTCCACACCCCTGCCCTGCCTGCAACCATCCCTTCTACATCTCAGCCCAGTTTGGGATTTTTCCTCCGTGCTTTCCCCCGGCCCCGAGCCGCGCCGTGCGGCCGGGCCAGCACCAGGGACAGCGCCGGCCCCGGCCTCCCTCCTTTCCTTTGTTCCTCCACCGGCGAGGCCCCGCGGAACAAAGGAGGCCGCCGCCGCTGCCTCCGAAGCCCCGGCCTCTCCCCTCCTCGCCCCGCACCCCCTGCTCACCGCACCGACGTGGCCCCCGCCACCTCCTCCTCCTCCTCCACCACAGCCTCATCTCCGCTGCCCCGGCCTTGCATGCACCTGCCCCGCTGCTGGCGTGTGCCCCCCTCTCCCTCCGCTCTCCCTTTCACCCCCAAGCCTCCTCCGGCCTCCCCCCACCCCTTTGCCCCGCTGCCTCCCCCCGCTCCGCACCCGTGAGCCGCACCGCACCGCTCCGCTCACCAAGCCGCACACCGCTCCGCTCTCCCCGCCGCACCGCTGCCCTCCTGCAGCGCTCTGCTTCCAGCCTCACCCCCCCTTCTCCGCTCCCCCCTACCCCTCCCCTTCTTTTTTACCCCCTCCCCGGTGCACAAAACACGCTCCCCCCCCCCGACCCCCGAACGATCGTGCCGCGGAGACCCCCGAAAGGAGGAGCCACCGCCGAGCCCGCAGCGCTCCTGCCACCGGCTGGGCGATGCGCAAAGAACAATTCCTCGCGATGATCATAGCAGAAAATGTATTTATTTCCCAGTCGTCGACTTTACATGATTTTAAGCCCAGGAAAGCGAGAGGTCGAGGCACCGCCACCTCGAAAGACACCGCTGCCACCGCACGGCTCCCGCACCGCCCCACGTCCCCGTTACCTGCTGCTGACAGCTGCCATCCCCTGGCAGCGGTCCCCTCCTCTCCACGGGGCTCAGCCGTCCCAGCCTCGAGTCCTATTCGGTGGCGCTTTCCGTAGGTGAGTACAGAACGTCGAGCCCTTCATTGCTTTTTTTCTCTCCTTTCTGATGTGTCACTTAGCGCTACTCTTTTTATTCGTGGTGCTATGCTATGTTCGGGCGAGAGCTTTAATGCCGCCTGGAGGATCCGCTCTTGGCATTCACCGCGTGCCTTAATTGTATGACATTAAATCAAGGTCCGCTGTGAACACGGAGAGTCAGAGCCTTGGAGCGTTCCCGCTCGCTCTCTCTGGAAACAGAACAGCAACCGATCCCCGAAAAAAAATATATATATAGAAAAAAATATATGTATAATTCCCCTCCGCCCTAGTCCCATCCTGGCCTGGGCTGGACGTAATTCATGCTCGAATTTTTCTACTGGCCCATCTGTTGTTTGCAAAGCCCGGAAAGCTGTTACATATGTACTTAATGGCTTAAAAAAAAAAAAAAAACAAAAAAAACATAGAAATTAAGCGTGCGCTTATAACGCACTTCCAGGCGACTGCTTTAATTTCGCCAGCGTCTTCGCGTGATTTGAAACGCAGGAGTTGGCTCTCCCCGTCTCGACGTCTCTGGTTTGGCATCCCTGCCCGGGAGGGACCGTAGTCCCTGCTCCTGCGGCTCGGCTGGAGCCCGGGCCGTGGGATCCGCACCCCCGGAGCATCTCCGCTCCCCTCGGCCGGGTGTCGGCGGTGAAAAATGAAAGGACGGGACATGTCATCTTTCTTTGTAAAGCGAAAAAAAAAAAAAATCAACTCACTCGCACCTGCCCCTTTCCCGGGAGGGTCTGGGCAGCCCATCTGGCCTGCCTACGCTGAACAGTGCGAGCGATGAAATGAGGGGTGAAGTCATTACAATAAAAAAATAATAATTAAAAAAAGCCTAAGGTAATTGTTATTATTATTATGATCACGGTTGTTGCCGTCTTTCACCGCTCAGGACGGGGACCCTTCTGTTTTGGTGCCGATGGCACGCCGGGGAAGAGCTGGGGGGCGGCCGGGCACCGCGCATCGCCCTGCGGGCTCGACCCGGGCTGGACCCCACGACCCGTGCGGGCTGACCTCGACTGCTGCCTCCGAGCCTGGCCCGGGAGAGGGAGAGGAGAAGAGAGGAGAGGAGAGAAGGCGAAGCGGGTGTGCTGCGGCTGGGCTCCGGCGGCGAGCTGGGTTTCCCCGAGACTTTTCGGCGGCTTTGCCCGGGCATCCGGGGGGCAAGCCGAGCAGGCGGCTCTGGCACCCCTCGGCACCGCAGCTCCTGCGTGCGACCGCCTGGAAAAGAGACAAAGCGAGAGAATTAGAAAGGCAGGCGGGGAGGGACGGGCGCCGGGAGCCCGCACGCCGCGCGGTTGCCAATGACAAAAGGGAGAGAGGGGGGAGTCAGAGCAGGGGAAGGGCGGGGAGGGAAGGGGAAGGGGAGGAAGGAAAGGAAGGCAAGGGAAGGCAAGGGAAGAGAAGGGGGGCCACACGGGTTGACGCGGAACTGGTGCCGGCCAGACCCCAGCCTCCCGGGCTGCCCGCTCGGCGGCCGAGCGGGGTCAGGCGAAACGCCCATCACCGGGGCGTCTGTGGGAAGCGACCAGGCGGGGGGGACCACAAAGGGCAAGCGCCCTGCCCGCCGCTGCAAAAACATCCCCGGACAGGGAAAAAAAAAAAAAAAATCTTAAAAAATGGAAGAACATGGATGAGAGAAAAAAAAAAAAAAAAACCACCCCAGCTTCTTTTCTCGGTTTGAGGAGCGTACGAGAGCAGACAGCAAAATCCATGGGGAGAAATCCGAGCACCCAAATAAAAGGAAGACTTATGACCCCGCTCTGAGTATTAAAAAATAGTAATTAAAAAAAATAAATAAAAAAAAGAAAGAAAATGGCCAAACCTGCCGAAGGCTGGCTGCTCCTCCGCCCAGCCGGAGCCGCAGAGCGCAGAGAGGAGGAGAGCCCCGCGAGCTGCTTTCGGGGGTACGAAGCGGTCCGTTCTCTCCCCCTCGCTTGCTGCTCCAGAATTAGGGATTAATGCCTCTCCAGCCAAACAAATAAGGCATCTGCCTTCAGTACAAGAGGATTACACGGGGCTGCTGACGTCACCAGCCAGGCAGATGTTGGCTCCCAAAGTCCCGATCATCTCCCGTGTCCTTGAAACCCGGCGCAATCCCAGCCCCGCGCAGCCCGGCCGGGTCTCTGCAAGGTCGAGGGGGACCCGCTCAGAGGGGACCCCACCGAGCCGCTCTTTCCCCAAACGTCCTCTCGCATGGTGGGGAGAGAAAGGTGTGAAAAGCCTAGCCCGGCAGAAAGTTCAACCCTCCCCCTTCCCTCCGGCTCCTCTCCCTCCCCCCCCCCACTCCGCCTTCCTCCCACCTCCCCAACCTCAATGTCACATGAATCTGTACAGTCATAGCGAGGAAGAGGAGCCCGCTGCCAGGCTCAGCCCAGAGGCCACCCTCCCTCCCCGCACGGCGACCGCCCCCCCTTCACTGCGGCACCGCCGCGTCCCCCCTCCGGCGCCCCCAGGCCGCCCCCGGTCCCACCCCAGCCCCCACTATGGGGCCGGGGGAGTCCGCCGCCAGCCGGGCCCACTCGAAGCGCCCGTGGGCTTTGTCCCCGGGGGGGCCGGCCCGGTTAGCACGGGTCTGGCCCGGTTGCGCGGGGCCAGCTCGCTTCCGAGGCTCCGGGCTCTGCGGCAGGCGTGCAGCAAGCTGCCGAGCCGAGCCGTGCCGTGCTGAGCCGTGCTGAGCCGAGTTAGGGCAGGCAAAGAGCGCTGAGGTCGGTCAAGGCCAGCAGTCGGGGGGCTCTGGCTAACAGGCTTGTGCCGTTCCTAGGAGGGCGCAGAGAGGCTTGTCCTTCTCGGAGCTCAGCTCTGAGTTTGCTGCTGGCTGCTGAGGAGCTTTGGGTGGTTTGGAAGGGCCGCAAAGTACATCTGAAAGGGGAGTCCGATTGGAAGCGCGATCAAAATAAAAGAGAAATTTGCCTCAGAGCCATGTCTGTTGCCTTTGCTGTGGCATAAAGTCCATGACTCATCATCGTTAGTCCCTTTGCATCAAACAATGGTTTCAATCATTTCGGTACCGCAGAAAGGCAAACTTAATGATGTGACATAACGGAGTGGGATGAGGAAGAAGGGATCGCCAGTACCTAGGCTCCTGTTGGGCTGACGTTGTTGTTGATGTTGTTGTTCAAAGGAGCTGCTTTATAGATCTGTTCCATATTATCCTTGTCTGTCAAAGTGGCATTTAATTTTTCCAATTGTGGAAGTTGGTCACTGATAAAATCAATTTAATTTACACCACTGTCATTCAGCCGATCCGAGCAGTAGGTTTATTTTTGGCTCGGAGTTGAAGGGAGGAAAAAAAAGCAAAAAAAAAAAGCAAAAAAAAAAAGCAATCTTGTGCAGAACGGAGAGATCTTTCTACTTCTTTTATGGGTGGTAAGAAGAGAAAACACTAGCACGACATTCTAACAGGGCTTGCTCTCTCATGCCGGAAAATTCTACATGTCATTTCTTAAGGCTTTTGTTTGCAAACACGAAACGGAAAGCAGGGAAGGCAGGCCAGCCGGGTTTCGCTCGGTGCCGTCCCATGCCATACCATGCCATACAATGCCATACCGTGCCATACCGTGCCATACAATGCCATACCGTGCCATACCGTGCCATACCGTGCCATACCATGCCGCGCCGTGCCGTGCCCGGCTGCCCCGGTCCGGCAGCTGCCGCCCGGCCGCGCTCTGTCCATGGTCCTGACCGTCGGGCGGCAGCGGCACGGGCTGGGCTCGCTGCTGCTGCCGCCGAGGGCAAGGGACCCGGCAAAGCTGTCCCGGGGCACTGCTAGGCTGCCTCTGCTATATTGGTATTAGTGGTGATAGTACAGATAGATTTCAGTTCAGCACCTTGGAAGGAGGTGTGTGTGTGTGTGTGTGTGTGTGTTGGGGGGGGGGTCTGCCTTTCTTGGGGCTTATTTGATAGCTCGACGGTTTTGAAGTGCTCTCAATCACCGACGCCTGGGCAAGTCCACATTGCAGTGAAAAGTAGTTAATATCGGACAACGGTCTTAAAACGTCGGGCTTTCAATTGTTTCCTTGAACGGATTAATGTGGAAATTCAGAGGCGACTTTTGGTAAGCGGTACCGACCTACCGACCGACCTGAAAAGAACTGACAGCAGTGCAAACTATTTTTCTTTCCATGTTACAGCGGGAATAACTTGCAGACAATGGATAAATATGTTCTAAAATTTCACGATTACACAACCTATTTCCGAGCCTAAACAATTCTCTTACTATGTGGCTACACGCATAGACACTCTCGTTCTCCCCCCCTCTCTCTCACACATACAAACACGTAAACATAAATAAAGTTAAAATGATTTAGTGGAAAAGTCAGATCTTCGCTCAACAGTTCACGAGTCTTTTCTCAGCTGAATTCGACCCTCCAACCCCCCAGCTGGCTAACGTTGCTTCTTCCTAGCATTTTATACCAAGGACAGTTCTCAGATTATTATTTCTTCGGTCTCCTTTCTTCCCATAGCCTTTCCCCCCTGACTCGAATAACGCTAAAATTGCCGCTGCGATGCAAGAGGCTCCGAAGACAGCAGCTTTAGAAATTGCGCACCAGCCCTACGAGGAGCAATGTGTGGGCTCTCTCAAAAGTGAGGTACGACTGGCTGGGGAAAAGGCAGAGCTGCAGCCATTCACACTTCGTGGGCCGGGAGACTTCTTTCAAAAGAGCCCTGAAGTATTTAGGATTTGGGGGAAAACCCTTGTACCGGAAGAAAATGGCCTAAACACAATAGGACTCGCCATTTTCTCCTTCCAAAGCACAAAGCAGCTCCGCGGCTTCAGCACCACACAAAGAAAGCCCGGACCCTCTGAATTCTCTTACATTTTCCCCCCACCGTTTCAAAAGCCTTTCCCTCTAAGCGATCCGCTTTCCCAGGAATGCTCGCACAGAAATAAAGGAAGAAAGAAAGGAGGGGAGGGGGAGAAAAGCGACTAGCTAAGGAGAGAGGAAGACAGTTTTGATCTTAGTTTATTTAAATCAAACCCTGCCAGGGAAAAGTCACGCTCTCACATGTGCCCTTGAGGAAAAAAAAATAATAAATAATAATAATAAAAAAACGATCTCGAAAGCTGTTTTGACCACCGCATTCCTTCAAGCTGGGCGGACTCGCGTTACGCCACAGAGACTCGAGCAAGACCACGCTGCCTGAGGATGTGTATGTACACACACAGGCGCACACACACACACCGGCTCCGGAGAAAAATGCCTTTTCGGGCCGGCTAAACCCACAACTTGGTGTTGAAAATGCCCCCGTGCTCCCCGCACCGCCGGGACCCGCCGGTCCTCCGCGCCCGCGGGGCTCCCGCGGCTCGGCTGCCTCCCCGCGCCGCCCGCTCCCCCTCGCCGGGCTCTGCCTTATTTAGGTAACTCGGCAGGAGGCTGATAAAGAGGCGATGATATTAAAAAGACAGAGAGGGAACAACAAAGAAGCAAGCCAAACCCGAGCAACTCAAACCCAAACCGCGGCGGCCTCTCGGTATGTCTCAGAAATGCAGCAGGAGATTTTGTACTTACAGACAGCGCTAAAGTGAGTAATCCTCATCCCAGCGTGCTTGGGTTTGTAATTTTTCTCTATCTCTTTTTTTTTTTTTTTTTCTCCTATTTGTTTTTAAGCACTTGTTCATTCCCATCGTCCATGGCTCGGAGTGGATGCAAACAAAAACGGCCCGTTAGCACGAATAAAAACAGAAGTGATTTCATTATGTAAATGCAGGAAAGAGGCAAGATGCTGCGTTTCTCCTAATACTTTCTGCTTGGGAACCAGCAGCGCTCAGCTCAGGAAAGCAGGACTCTGTGTGTGTCTCCCCCTCCTCTCTCTCTCACACGAACACGCACACACACGCACACACACGCACACACACACTTACTCTTCTCCTTCTCCTTCTCCTTCTCCTTCCTTTTTTTTTTTTTTTTTTTCAAAAGAGGGCAGGTCGTTCCCTGAATCCCAATGAGTTAAGTCAGTCACTTTCCTTCGCATGCATCACAGCCTCCTTAGAGCTGCAGGCACAAAAGAGCATTTAGCTGCCTCCAATTTGTGTAGAAGGCCTGTCCTTATTTTTTTCTTTTCTTTTCTTTTCTTTTTTTTTTTTTTTTTTTGAGTATAATTAAATCATGTATTTCACTCCATATAAAAATACCACGTCCCCAACTTTGACGATTGAACCACTAATTGTAACCTTTTAAATAAATTCCTGAACTTGTACACGTACTTAGCTGGTCTGCAGGGGCTTCACAATAAATTGATGCACAGCATTTCTCAGCTGTGCGGACCTGCACCCTGCTTCCTGCAAAGGTCAGAGCTGTACAATCCACAATTACTTTCCAATGAAGTCTTATATCAACAAAATCTCCTTGAAAGGATTACGGGCCTTTCAGAATAAAGCTTTAATCTTAAATATACATGCCGGCATATTCCATTTCAATCAAATATGAGAGATTGTTTAAAAAAGTAGCCGCACACGTACATGTGTTTTCACGCGGGGTTACTTTTCCCAGGCGGACAGGGGAAAGTGTAAGCCCGGTAGCACCCACTCCACATATCTCTTTCTGCTTTATGTCTGTTCTTCCTTCCAGGCAATACAGGAGCATCCATGTGCGTGTGTATACACGCGCATACACACATACGTGCAAATATATACACAGGCATTCATACACCACTGGGCGTACCTAGCCCACTCATGCCAAAAGCTGAGAAGCGCAGGGCTGGCAGAAGCCTGCCAGGAGGCGAAGGAGCACCCGAGGGACCCAGCGGAGGGCCGTGATGGTGCGGAGTAGATGCAGGAGGGTGGCAGGGCCCCGCTGGTGCTGGGCGATGGGTACTGAGTGCTCGGCATAGCTTGACCGCGGCCGCCCCCGCCGAGGCCTTAAGGGGAGCCCGGGAGGTTTCGAGGGGCCGGGGCCACCCCGACATCTCAGTCACCTCAGGAGTTCTTGGCACTTTCTTTCCACCCTTGTCATCTCCTAATTCCAGCTGCACTCGCTCAAATGGGTGGTAATCCGACTCTAGAGGAGATTAAGGAACCAGAGATAGCTGCATTTAGGATTACCGAAAGGAAATGAAGGAATCTAATCCACTCCTGCCCCTTACGTTACTGGGTTTCAATAAGACCTTATACCACCTTTTAGGATTTTAAACAAATGAAATCGCTTGGAGAAGGGGACAGAAAGAGACCGAGTGCTAGAGAGGGTGTTTACCCATTACA